GGGTTGTATATAGAGTTGCTGGTATCATCTAAAAGCTTGTTCATTAAAAGTTGTCTTGTATTTGGTTTTTTTAAAATAATAGTAATATCCACCAGTCTTGAATGAAAGTAAAGAAGCTTTCGATTGACAGAGGTGGGGGTTATCTAGTTTCAGGGGTAAAATTTAGCGAGAAGATGGTCGCCATAGTTTGGTGACTTCCAGGCTCGAGTGTGTTTAAAATCTCCAAATATACATGTCATATGCTTTTGACCAACGTTTTTAGTACTATCCAAAAAGAAAATTACTATTTTAAATGGACATAAAAAGTTTTGAGTCAAAACAAAAATTATTCTCAGCTCAATTGAAAACGTTTCACTTTTTTAATATACATAGCGTTTCATAAAATAATGTGTTTGATGAAAAGTACACAATTGGAAGCTGTTGCCCACCGCATGGTCATTAGATATACATTCTTTCGTTGGTGCGGTCATCTCTCATTTTTGGCATGTGCAAAATGCGTAAAACGCTACACGCTACTGTACTTTTTATGGATAGGGGTATGTTAAACATTGCACGACACGAACACGCGAACGCAGATTAGACCAACTCTTTGGTTCAATATCTGTTGGTAATATATTCTCACACCTTCGCGCAAACGTTTGTATTAATCCACGGGGTACTTATTGTCATTCCAAGCGCCTTTTTTGTAAGTGAAGGGTTTTTAATGGAGTTGAGTATAACTATTTATATTCGATGAAAATTGTCCAGAGGGCAGAAAAATGCTGAATTCTACGTATTCCATTACTTTGACGAGCGCCCGGTTTCACCACGATGCCACACGAATGCTCCTGCCATGATTCTGACGAAGAATCTTCCGAATACGTCATCAAAAGATAAAGGGGCGTGCACCCATGTTCTGATTATACGGTCAATTTGACGGGATGAGGTAGAATAAAACACATCTAACTTGAATAATAATAAAATAATTTACTAGTTTATGCCTCTGTATGACTAGAGGTTAGGACACGGGACATGCAATCGTTAGATTGCAGATTCCTGGGTTCGGAGCTCATCTTTGGCGACGTTGTGTCCTTGGAAAAGGCAATTTACCCAAACTTTCCTCATTTCACCCAGGTATGAATGGGCACTCATCATAGACAGCAATCGATCTTGTCAACATGGCAGCGTTTTAGTGCTTGTAAAAAGGCAATTTACCCTGTATGCTTCCAAGGAAGCCGAGAAATGTTCTTGGGTGTTCTATGGTCTGCTGGAGTAATAATACTGTAGAAAACCGTAGTATACAGCATGTTGTAAAGCACTGACCTGCGCTTTATAAATTCAGTTATTATCGTTATTTCTAGTATCATCGACTATTAATTTGTCGTCTTCCCCACTCCTAAATACATTTGCCGTGTAATTAGACTATTTAGAGGCAATGGCAATAACCAAACTGGCTTCAAATCTGACAAGTCGGACCAATATGGCCGTCGTCCTTTCAGCAAATTTGGAGAGGTGCACACTCCACTTATGCCAGGGTGATGGAGATCTGGAAAATAGTTGACAGTGGGAAAAGCCAGCGGCATCAAACCAAGAGTATACTCTTCACAGCTTTGAACGAATGCCTGCCAATATGGGTTTGCGAGCTCCCAGGGTCTACACAAATTATGGACAG